AAAAACGAAGCCAACGAAATGGGCAACAAAACAATGAATATGAATGTGAATAACTGAGCCCTGCGCCCCACCATTTTTGCGCCACACTGTGCATGGGTGGTCAAAAAGTAATTTAATTTGTAACAAAGTCAGCGGAAGAAGTATGAGTACAAAAGAGGGAGAGAAGCTAAAGCGACAATTACACACTCACCCACACATACACAAAAACTCATTTCATGGGTCAAAAAGCACAATCTTCCAGTTTTGTATGACTGATTTTTATTTTTATTTTTTGGTTCATTCAGATTACTATCTGTGCAACTCTCGTTTGGAATGCGAAGCCAAAATCCCGTTACACACACACACACTCACATTCTATCCACTTCAATCCACATTTTACGACACTACTTCACTCATATGCTGCTATCGAAGGGCTTTGTGGAGTAGTTAGTTAGTGCAGACGCCGCCAAAGGCAGGACAGGTGTGCTTTTTGTTGGGTAGCTACTCGCCTTTGGTCACCACCCAAAGTCAGCTTCAAATCCTATTAGTTGCAATTCCACAGGATTTTCGCCACTCCTTTTTTGCTGCTCTACATTTTCTTCCGTTTTGTTGGTAAAGCACCTTTATTTGGCAAATTAATACTCAAAAAGGTAAATCAAAGCCGATTTAAAACAATAAGCGCAATGAGCAACAGTAACCATAAATGGTAGTAATACTATGTATGTACATACATACGTAGTTAAGTGGGGTTTTTCGGTTAAAGTGATTTGGCCTGAAAAAGATGAGTGAGCAGAAAATTTGTTAAGATGGCAGGAGACTTGGGTATCGGTTTTGGACCTAAGAAGGCAAATCAATGTGGTAGGGTGGCTGAGAAAGGGACTCTCATTCTTAATTTTAAGAAAAGTAAATTTCATCAGCACATTTAGTACAAATTTAAGAATTGTCTGCATATATGCTCACGAGAATTTTTTGATGTATAAACTTGTATGCTTCTTCATGAGCCTTCAAACTAGCTTTTCCTTTACCATACTCGGAAAGAAGATGGATAGATATGGATAGATTGATATGGAGGCACACACTAAGACCAAGAGATCTATTTTGACCAACCGTTCATAGCAACAACACTTGCCCAGAGATGGCCCAGGTACTTCTCGATCTCACAAAACAGGTGTAAAGTAGGCCCCTCGATTGATTCATGGAAACGACATAAGTCGTTCGGCCTGATCTTTAGCCTGTACAGGTGACCTCTTAGTCTACAGTGCCTCGCGAGAAAGCCTGTTATTATTCTAAGTCCCTTATTGGAGAAGTTTATGCTTGCCCTGTACCTTGTAAGGTTGTAGCCTCCCAGTAAGCATTTACCTTGGCGTAGACCTACGGTGTTGTGGCAGTATTGTTCTCTAAGTCTGTTCCTCTCATTCCTCAACTCTTCCTTGATTGTGTTAGGTCTGATCGCAATGAAGGAATCAGGGCCTATAGGAGCCGAGGCTAGACGGTCGTTACCCTCAACTTCTATGTGACCTGGTGCCCAAATTACCCAGTATGTTCAGCTTATCAATGCACTCAATGCACTCAAGAACCAAAGAGAGCCTTACATGCTCATATTAGAATGCGATATTAGAACTTTCTCACTACGATAATTCCTACGTAGGTTGATAACTACATATGGCGTATATCTCCGCCTAAAAGATACTCGGATATGCTTCCATGGGTACTGAGAGTTTCAGCCTGGGTCCGCAGATGCCTGCCATAACGCCGTGGGGAGTTTTGGCGCTGTCTGTATACCATTGCAGCCAGCTAGCGTATGTATGTCCCTCCATAAAAGAGATGCTCCAAGTTACCAGGCTGCAGAGCTCTACTTTTAATTTCCTCTCAAATTCTTCTGATTCCTGCATTCACGGGCAACCCTGCTAACCTTTACCAATTTCGTGGTGATGAACAGAACCTTCCGAGATAATGTGCCGTCTTTTGTTGAATTGAGCTTGAAGAGAAATCGGTTTCGGCATTGTGACATCTTTTTGTTCTTCAGATAGCTTGCCATTGATGTGAGCGGATGTTTCTCTCGCCTGTTGCATCTGAGACTAATCATTGGGGGTCGAAGACTCTACTTTTTATGAAAGGTTTCCCGTCTGACGACTTGCCAAAGAGAAAATTGCAGCCTCAGTCTCAGAAGGAAGTTATTACCACAATATCTCTACTACCATAAGCAATGGGGAAAAAGAGCTCCCTATAAAGACCAGATGCAGCTTAACACTTATTCGTTCTGGGTGATGCACTGCGCCTATCAACATCGCCTGCTTCCTCTGCCTCAGGTTTGCAAAGGCAGACGATAAGGATGATGACTCTTAACGAAACGCCGGGGGCTGAGCACTGATACTACAATAACAACCTAACCGTAATAAAGCAGTATTTATAATTTAAATGTTAAATTAAGAACAGAGAAAAGAAGCGTCTAAAAGCTAAATGAATAAAAAGTCAGTTTTAAAACAATAAATCGAAAAATTAAAAAAAAATTTGATAAAAATGAAAATCAGTTGAATTACAACGTATGCATATACATATATATGTTTCTAAAATGTAAATTAAATAAAAAAACGTTTTTTTTCAACAATAAATTCTAAAAATTAACTTTAAAAAAAATAAAATAGAATAAATTTCTGCAAAATTATATTTATATATTTTTCTTTTTGAACAATAAAATCGAAAAATTAAAAGGGAATTACAAAATAAATAAAAAAAAACAAAAAATTCTGCTGCCCGAGGTTTCGAACACGAAGTGCTTTACTCACTCAAGCCTCTTTAATTGATAAAAATCTTTAAACTCTTCGAATTCTGGGTGCGATAATTCGAATTTCTTTCATACATATCTAAACAGTAAAACCTATCAAAAAAGCAAAAAAAAAACTATCTCATTGTATTTATTTGTTGCTAAAATTTTATATAGCCCACCAACAAGGTGCTAATTTCAAACACAGATCAACCAAAACGGATAGCTTTTTCATTAAACCTACACTTGAGCCGCGCAGCTGGTAGTGAATTCTGTGGCAAACAGCAGCTACCCATGTCGATCGCCGATAAAGCGTGAAAAAATCCGTGAAAAAATATCAATAAATAGTCATAAATCAAACAGCAACCCAGCAACAGGTTGTTGCAACCAACCGCTGCACACTGCTGCAACAAAAGCATACGATACACACAGAGTCGCATAGTACCAGCCAGCAAGATCAATACTCGGCTGTGGTGAGCGGCAATGCCAACATTGCGCCATACGGTATCAACAAGACAACCGCAACTTTGCAACAGCAACAAAGCGCATGCATCCAGGCACTTAGATGTGGTTTCAATTGCGACAAGTAAGCTTAGTGGAAAACTTGTTGCAAGCGGTGACGAAATTGCACGCGCGTGCGCGCTCCAAAAAGTAGCGTTGATTGAACTCATAACTCATAAACTGCCCGAAGAATATTGGTCAGTTGGCCGCGCATGCGGCACAAAAATCATAAATGGTCAGAGGCGAGCTTTTCTACTTACACGAGTGCGCGCTCCCGTGTCTGGCTGAAGTGTTACTGCGAAAGCTTTTGCATTTTGGCGCGCTTTTCGATTGGCGCAATCGTTACTAATGAACCGGCGGTTGCATTTATTTTACTTGGCTACCGCTGCTGCTGCTGTTGACGATCGCATTCATTCGCTCTATTGCTTGTTTACACCATTTGTTTTGCCCTCATCGCCACTGCAACCACATAAATACTGTGCAAATTTCGATTGCGAAATCATCGTATTGGTTAACTTGCCAACCATTGCAAGCCATACGCGGCAGTGCACTTTGCTTCGAGTTTGTTGTAATTGACGAGTATAATGAAGACAACAGCATCCAGAGTTTATCAGCTGCTGCACTGATGATTGATGCAGCAGACACCTTTAGTTGTGGTTGTGTTGTTTGCGGCTAGAAGATATTTTGCACATAAATAAATGGCAAACAAAAAGCAAACATTTTATTAAACTTTTATAAAACTTTAACACCGCTGTGCGGTAATAGCAAAAGCGGCGACGTCCATTGGGTCCAGTAGCATAAGGCAGTGTGGTCAGTCAGTGTTGGAGTGCACTTCGCGACGGTTACAAAGATTCTTGCGGTGCCGGGAAAAGTACGACAAAAGGACTCTGAAACAAATACGCCAATTTTTTTTTTGTTTTTTATTTAAGAAGGATACTAGTTTCCGTCTGCTTTTCGAAAAGCCGTGCAATAAATTAAACTGCAAATAATATGTGGCGTGCGGGAAAATAAAATTTATTCAACAAAAAAGTTTTGATGCAGATATTTTTTTTTAAATGTGTGATGCAAACCATACAAATTCAACTGTAACGAAAAAATATTTCCAGCTTTTATTGAAACCATAAATTTTTTCAAACACACTTTTCTTCGAGTACATTTCATAATGTCGCTGGCTCTGAGTCTTTACTTTCTTGTGATTTCCTGTTTCTATACAATTAGGGCCGATGATGAGCCCTTTCTTACAGATCCGCGTAAGTCATGAAAAACAGAAATAAATTTAATTAAAAAAATTTTAATAAAAAGTAAAAAAAGTTTTGCTAAAAATAAAACTAAATATGAGAATTATTAAAAGCCAGAGAGAAAGTATGCGAATAAATTAAAACAAATAATAAAAAGTATATTCCTTGCAAAATTTACACCTCAATATTTTTTTGTGATTTTTTGAAAAAAAATTTCGGTTTCTACATATTTATTATTAAAACTTAAACTGAGCAATAAGTTTCCTATAAAGAATTAAAAAATTTTTTTTAAACACCTTCTAAGTCTTAGTAATAGATTTTCAATAAATAAAAAAAAATGTGAATTTTAAAGCAGCCAAATCAAGTACAGTAATTATATTTAGCCAACAAAATTGATAGAGAATCCAAAAAACCGAAACTCGAATTTAAAAATAAGAGGAAGAAACGGTGACAGGTAATAAGATCAACGGAAATAAGGTCAATTGACTTTATTTCGCAACAGGGGTTATTACCTTTTTAAAAGCGAAATAAAATCCATTGACATTATTGCTCTCTCAAACATTAAATTTGCTTAGCTTTATTTCCAAATTCTTGTTGACTTTATTTCGCTTTTGAAAAGTTAATAATGTCAATTGACTTTATTTCGCACCAGGGTGGGAAATTAAGTCAATTGACCTTATTCTGTTGATCTTGTTACCTGTTACGATTTCTATATCAGTAATATAAAATCAAGAAAAACCCTCAACTAACAACAAAAAATTATTTCCTAAAAGTAAAAGTCCCAAAAAAGCTACGTCAAAAATATTTTGAAACCAAAATTACATCCAAAAACAAAGACAAAATTCCAAAACTCGAAAACTTGATTCTATATAATTAAATGTAAATTTTGAATGCGGCATTAGGGTGGTTCAAAATTACACGTAAAAAAAATAGTCCGAATTTTAATGCTCTCACTTCATAGGATTGTTCTGTATAGAAAAAAATACCCCTGTTCTTTTTTATTTCGAAACAATTTGGCATAGGATTCTTAAAAATCACTATTTTTCTTTCCGTAAATTCACTTTCTCTTCTGAAAGCTTCAGGGAATAGTACCTAACTGTTTATTTAGCCATTTTTTAATACAGGCGATTTTTGATGAGTCTCCTTAAGCAAATCAGAGTCTTCCGATCTAAAAATATTGATATTAAAGAATTCTAAACCAGTTGCACGAAAAACGGTTTTTTCTCCATATAAAATGCATGAAATTTTTTTGTGATTTAAGCGATCTCTAAATACTTTTTGATTTCGAAAAAAAAAACATGGGTATATGTTTTCGGCATAGAACAATCCATAAAAATTCTTAAAATTTAGGCGAATATTTAGAGAATGCTGCAAAGGTTTGAAAGATTTTTATTTCCTTTAAAATCGCAAAAAATCTACAAAATTTTTACATGAATTTTTATAAATGTCACATATAACTGAAACTTATTCATTTAAACTCGTTAAGTCGCTGACTTATGTCTGGCGAAATTCGAAGTTTTGTTGAACTTTGCCGATAAAAAAAAACTCAATTGCTTCAATCCCTGGTAACAACTCCAATTTTTTTTTTTTTAATTTTGTTAATTTCTGTCTGTCTTTATTCTGTACGTTGAACAATTGAAAAGGGTGCCCCAAGCTGCTGATATTTTAAAGACCACCCTTATAAAGTAAATTCGCGAATTTTTAAGGTTAAAAAGCAATTAATTTCACAAAACTTTTTTGAAATTTTTCCAATTTTTTCAAAAATTAAAAAAAAAATCAGAATTTTGTAAAAATCCGCGAATTTTTAAGGTTAAAAACAATTATCTTCACAAAACTTTTTTTGAAATTTTTTCAATTTTTTCAAAAATAAAAAAAAAAATCAGAATTTTGTAAAAATCCCAAAATTATAACTTTGCAAGCAATTAATTGTCTTGCAGGATTTGATCAAGATCGGTTAACGATTAAATATAAATTTTTACGATTTTAGCTGAACCTTAAAAACGCTAATATTTAGTTTATTTTAATAACCCTAGCAAAAAATGTTTATGAACGCGCCCCCTGGCGAGCCTGCGGTCTGCTTATTGAAATAACTTACCAATAATACATCTGGAAAACTAATAAATTTGTTTCAATTAACCTATGCTCAAAAATCTGTTCAACCTACCTTCTTCCACTGCAACTCTACTGCGATCTCCACAATAAGTTTATGCACATTCTCCCCGCCCCTCCCCTCTTCCCTCTCAAAAAATTTCAAATATATTTCAATTCACAAATTAAACCGGATCTTCCAATCTTCCACAGCAGATTACATCAAAGAATGTCAAATAGCTGACAAACATTTTATTAACTGTTCCACGCAAAGCATACAACAATTATTCGACAAGCTAAACGACGGTAAGTAAATAGAGTGGAAATTTACCAAAACACAAAAAAAAACTGTATGCTGCAACATGCCAAAATGCAATTGAACAATTTTAATTATTGATTTACTTATTTACGATTTTTTCGCTCAAATTACATACAAACATACATTGCAGGCATACCCGGTTTGAATAGTATCAAAAGCTTCGATCCATTCTATCTAAACCGGATACGTATTACGCAAGGCAACAGCAATGCGATCAACTTGAAAGTCGAGTTGGCCAATGTGAAAATCAATGGATTCGGACGTACAAATGTGTTGGAGAGTGTGTAAGTGGGAAGAGGGATTTTGAAGGAGCAAACATTTTTTATATTTATTACAAAAAAGAAGTGTATGTTTCTTGGTTATTTTTAGTTTAAGGCTTTGAACTAAAATTTTTTTCTTATTTTTTTTTTAACTTGAAAAGCGTTTATCCGAAAGACTACAGCTGGAAAACTACTTTTATGCTGCCCGAAATGAAATTGCAAGGCGACTACAGCCTCTTTGGGCGCATTTTGTTGATACCCTTGAATGGGCATGGCGAAGTCTTCCTGGAAGCAGGTAAGTTGGCATAAATGGCGTGGAAGACAGCTTCTAGTAGAGTTGTTTCATTCGATGCTTAATTAAGCCTCAATTGCCGGAATGGCTTTATGCATAAAAATAAAATAGACTTTAAACGCGTTGTACCTGATATTTTCATACAAATTTTCGGTTTATAAAGCAATAAAAATCTTCCTTATTTTTTAAAGAGTTTTAGTGTTGCATTTTCTTTATATGTATTTATACAAAATTAACTAAATTGCCTTTTACACGTTTACATATTTATTCAAAATATAAGAAAATATGACCGTCGTTATGCACTCGAAGACACGACTTTATGAAAAGGGTGGCTTCACCTTCTACAACGTTACAAATATTCGAGTGGACTTTAAAATCGACGGCTTGAAATCGTATTTCTCGAATCTTTTCAATGGTAACAAGCAGTTGGGTGAGTTCAGCAATAAACGTAAAATTTTTAAAATAAAATAAGTTCATAAAATACATTAAGAATTATTTGTGCTCTTACATACATAAATTCTAACCATTTATTTTCCATTGCAGAGGACAGCACTAATAAATTCTTTAATGACAACTGGCGCATGCTGGCCGATGCTCTATATACCGTTATCACGCAAACGATCGAGGATATTTTATTGGATGTATTGAAGAAAATCTTCCATTATATACCAGCCAATTTCTTCGTCAGCGATATACCAACTTCTAAGCAGTTGTATGGCACTAAAGCGACAGCGGATACAAAGCGACCTAAATAACTTAAAAATTAAGAATTAAGTTTAGTATGGTTAAGTATGTACTGTATAGAATATTTGTATGATTACAGTTTTGTTATTAAAATGTATGGCTCTGAAAGTAAACGATTTTTTTAACTAAACAAGTAAAGAAGTATAAGTTCGGGCGAAACCGAATTTTATATACCCGGCGCAGGTATCATCCATTGTCATTCCAACTTTCTTTAAACTACCCAAAAGTCTATAGAGATTGTTGTAAGTATTATCTGGGAGTAAATTAACGACCTCAGTTATTGAAATATAGGAGTTTTCGTATATCCGAAAATTACCGTTATACGGGAAATCGGTGCAAATTTTTATCCGATTTGAATAACTTTCAACGAATTGCTTTTTCGTACCAACACTATTAAACACACCAAGTTTGATAAAAACTAATAAATCGGTTACAGAGATACACATTAGTGTCATAAGTGGGCAGCGCCACGCCCAAAATCCAATTATTTAGTCTAACTTTTTGCTCAGTGGTCATTGCAATAATCGATTTTGTGTCAATTAGCTTCAGTAGTTACTGATTTATCGCAGTTTTCGTGTTTCTGTAAATTACCGTTATATGCGGAAGGTGGGCGTGGCTATTGCCCGATTTCAATGACTTTCAGCAAATTTCTTAGCTGGATCCTAAGCAAGGCTCGTACCGAGGATAAGGATTGGTGAAGTGGCTACTAAGATACAATATTTCATCATAAGTGGGCAGGGTCACGCTCCTTTTCCAAAAATTTCATAATAGTATTATTTTGTAGGTACCAAAATTCTACTTCACATACTAATTTACAAGAATTCAGATCAAATATTTACTGAAATACTATAGTTTTTGCATTTTTCGAAAATACCGCATGTAAACACAAAACAGCTGATATGCAGTTGGACACTTTATCCATTTTTACCCGAAGAAAAAGTTCGGGCTGTTTCGAGGAGGAAGAAGAAGACACTTACCATCCAATACGATCCAATTTTCGCTCTCTATCACCCATTTTGTTGCGTACGGGAATGATTTCTGGGCTGTTTTGGGCTTCCGGGGAATCCCGCATTGCGTACGGGAATGAACCTATTATTATGGGTATAAAAGTGAATGAGGTCTTCCCATCCGGTACAATCGCAAAATGTTCTGACCACTTGTGCCACATCTGGCCGAGCATTGTCATGGTCAATGGAGATCAATGACTCATGTCTGGTTGCCCATCCCGCCCGTTTTTCCGCAAGCACTTACTTCAATTGTATAAGTTGTTATCTGTAGAGAACCCCGTCGACCATCTTACCGAAGCCCACGATACAGGATTCCCTTCTGGCCCCACCAAATTCTGAGAATTACCTTGCTACCATGGATATTTGGCCTCAGCGTCGATGATGCGTGTTTGCCGTGCTTAACATAGGCCCTCTGACACTTTATATTGTCGTAAGGAATCCATTTTCCATCGCCGGTAACAACACAATGCAAATACGACTTTCCGTCGTCGACCGTTGAAGGATCATTTGGGAAACAGTAACTCACCGTTCGCAATCTCTTAGTTTGGTTTAAAACTTTCTGGGCCATCACAAAAACTTTTTCGAAGCTCATTCAATTCTCATTAGCTTTTTGGTAAATACCAGAAATTATTGAACTTCAAGAGAACATTGAGGTATACCGAGGGCAGCGATTTCTTTGATCTTTTAACTGGTTGGCTGAAGAAATGCTATATAATGCGAACACCGATCAATGACAAGAATTGGACGCGCGCTTTAAAAAGGATGGAAACAAGTCAATCACAATGTGCCAGCATCTGCCAAAATAGTAGAGGATGAGGTGCAGCAGATATTCGCAGTTGAAACTCCTTCATCGACACAGGTGATCTTCAAAGTCTTCAATTAGTGCTCAAATTTCTGCATTTTTCGATTGCTCTGATGCGCGAGTTTAAAGTAGGAAAACATCGTCGCTAGAGATACACCTTTCTGAAAAAATATCGCACAAAATTACCAAATTTTTTGAATACACATAATTCATGAAATCGACTTAACAGATCGTTTATTTTAACAATGATGTTTTCTGTAATTATAAAGTAAAGTATTTTAAAATCAAAAATATATAATGCCTGTAGGGTAGTAATAAATAACACAAATCATTTTATTTGCAAGAAAAAAAAAGAACCAGAATTTACGAAAATTGTCTAATGGTGGACTGAGGCAGGTTTGGTATGTATTGACTTAAATATTGATGTAAATTGCCGCGAATAAATTTGCATTAACAAGTGAGTGCCTGCTACTTTATTTTTACCCCCATATGTATTTATATAAAACATTTACATTTTTGTGTGCATATATTGACCAAACCTAATAAATTTTTATGTAAACTTTAATATTTTAATATTTACTTAGAAATTGACCATTTGTGCAAATACATACATACACACATGGGTCATTCCATACAATATTTGCACCTCAATTTTTTTTTTTTTTGTGAAATATATTTTTTTACATTCTTCATCGAAAAAAAGAAGACCCCTAGACGACACTTTAGTATAAACTTTATGTATGCAGGTATGAAAAAACTCGTAACTTCTACAGTTTTGGTGTTTCCAATCTCAAATTTTTACAGCTTACTCCATAAAGCTATTGCTATTCAGATTGAAAAATAAAATAAAAATCAAACATGAGGAAATTAATAAAAAAATAAAAAAATGCGATTTTTTAGTGCGTTTTTATTTTATTTTATACTATCTCACGCTCTCATGGAAAGCCGAGGTAATTACGCACATTTTGATACCTTAACTGATTTTCTCCGACAAATAGTTTATTAACTGCAAACAATTAAAAAAATATACTTATCCGTGAGTTCAAAATTTCGGGAATTTTTTTTTTTGTTGAGATTTTCGAATATCATGAAATAATATCACGAAATAAAAAAAAAATATGTGTATTCTTTTTGTCGATAAAAATGTAAAAAAATATATTTCTCCCCCAAAAAAAAATTTAGGTGTAAATATTGTATGGAATGACCCATAAGTATGTATAGAATGGCTTATCATATTCGCCAGCTATTAATGCCTAAAAGTATGCTAACAAGCTCGGCTGATGATCAACTTTATCTGTCCTTCTTATCTGCAGCGCTACAGTGATGGGCAATAAAATTCAATTATCACAAACTATATTCACAGAAATTCATAGCCGAAACAACACTTGGCATATTAACATCTAAAATTTGTCCATTTCCCGCTCTATGCAACAACAACTACAACAGATAATCCACCTAGCATAACAATTTACAATGCTTACAGTGCCACCAACATTAATTTGTATTTATCTCATGCATTTAACAATGTGATAATAATAAATTTTTACAACCAACTCGTTATAATAAAAATAAAATGCCTGCATTACACGGGTACAACAACAACAACAGCAGCAGTGTGAAACTTGGACGAAACAACAACAAATTGGTATGCGGAGAGGAATGCTGTTGTTAGTCGAATGGGGAAAAAAGTGGTTCATTCCAAAAACACCTTTAATTTAAACTCCTGCCCGACTCTACAATAACCGCATTCCTTTTTGTTTCGTTGTATGTATTTGCTCTGGCTACGTAAAAGGCTGTCAGTAGTGGTTAACAGCAGCGATAAACAAATAAAAATAATTGCATTTAACCCATTTGTGACCTGTGGTCCGCTCACCTGCTGTTGCTGCTGCTGTACATAGTTGTTGTACTCGTAACACTGAATTTAAATGTCTGGATTACCTGTCTATCGTTGCTATCCACAACACTATTACAACAATTAAAAGCGCTTGCAACATATAACAACACACGTACACAGGTACAGTTATATGCAGTCAGCGTCAAATATATGAATACCCTGACGCTTTGACAATTTGATTTATTTATATTTTCCATACCAAATTTTTCTTATTTTTTTGTAAAAATATAGTCATTCAACAGCAAAAACCAGCAAACTATTTTTTTTTTTAATTTCATATAGAAATCGGGAAAATTCAAGAAATACCAAAAAAATTTTCAACTTTTCAATTCGATTTTGGTACAATAAGGTGCAAGTTATAAGTCTCTAAAAATTACCGTCGATTTTTGAGACATTTTCTTCCATATAAAAATAGACTTGGTTCATGCGATATATCGAAAAAAAGGGTTAACCCTTAACAAAAAATTTTTAAAAATCAACATTAATTTTTAAGGACTTGTTACTTGCGCCTTATTACACTAAAATTTAATTAGCTACAAAACTGCGGACTCAAAATTTCTCTACGAAATCGAATTGAAAAGTCAGAAGTTTTGATAAAAATGTGTTGGTATTTCTTGAATTTTCCCGAGTTCTATATGACATTAAAAAAAATTTTTTTTGCTGGTTTTTGCTGTTGAATGAACTATACTTTTAAAAAAAAAAAAAAAAGGAAAAGTTGATATGGAAATTATATGTACATAAATAAAACGTCAGGGTATTCATATTCTTGACGCTGACTGTATGTACATATGTATGTATGTATTAGGGATATTGCGAATGTGGAATTTTAGACATCCGCGGATGCGAATGCGAATGCAAACAGCTTATCAAAATTAAAAAAATTTTGTATCATATGAAAGAGGACTGAAGTAGCTTTTAAACAGAAATAACGAACGAAGGTTGACGCCTCTATTTATAAATTTTTTCGTATCATTTAATACTAAAGACATTCATATACCTGACCCAGGCTTTGTTCTATTGTAATTAATTAATATTTTTTATTTAAATATTTTTCAATAGGAGGCTTTGCTCATTTAGATATTTAATCCATTTAGGTCCTCTTTCATTTGATATCAAACTTGTTTAATTTTGACAAGCGGTTTGTTTATTATCCGAAAAGGACTTTTATTTCGGAATAAAAAATATTTCGCCAAGTTTAACTCGTAAAAAAACAACTGTTATTTTCGGTCCCTTCAATATTCGCATTCGCAAAAGATCCGCATTGATTATTGCGATTGCCAAAGCGAATGCGAATGTTAAAATTAATGC